GCAGCCTCGCTTACTTTGCAGCCATTTGCTCTCAGTAATTTTTCTGCAATCAGAAAGAAATGGTGTAGCCTTAACAAATCCCAAGCCCAGGTCTTATGAAAGGTAGGCACTTCCGTTTCCATCTTCCTTTGTAGTTTATAATGCATGTGTGCATGGAGAGCTTAAGTTTTAATTTTGGGCACATTATCCACAGTCCTTTTTAAAAGTATAAATAGGGTTGCCATTCCTTCCCAGCCCTATTGCTGACCTTGTTTCTGTGCATTTTGTTTAGCAATAGTCTGCCATGGGAAAAATCAGTAAGTAAAGCCTTTCCCATCATTTATCTCCAGTAACAGTATTGGCTATTGATTTTAGTTTTAATTTTTCCAGGATGCTATTAAAGGGAATGACTATCAAGACGTGGCCAGGACAAAGGTAGCAACTGTAACTTTAAAGCTAAAATCTCTCAGATAAAATTGGCAGTAATGGTGGGGAAATAATTTTAAAATAAAGATCACAATTGCAAGATTACTGTAACCTCTGCAACTTATATTTTTGTGAGTTAGGATCTGTACACAACTGAGGTTGTTTTTTTCACAAAGGGATTATGAAGAATATGGGAATGGCTAAAGAAACAGACATTGCCGAGAGGGAAGTTACAAAGACAGATATGTCCTGGTACAAATGAACATGTTTGCAATGTTACTTATTAAAATGTCAAAATTTGACAGGATTTGCTGCACCACAACATGGCATCCTCTGTAATGAATGTTTGTTGTGTTCAAAGAATGAAATGTTGAAACGTTTTAGACAACTCTGAGCTATTAAAATGGCAAAGAATCATCCTGCATTATCTGGTATAGCAGAAATCACTAGGGAAGAAGAGATTCCTCCTTTGCTCCCCCCTCCTCTCAGTCCCCTGCTAATGGCAAAAGGAATGATTATTTTAGGGAGAAAATTAATAAGATCTTAATGAGCCTTACTCCCAGCGCATTGTTCACTTCATATTTGACAGCAGCTTTGTGGATCAGAGTATAGAATGTGTCAACTCCTTACCAGGAGTTTTAACACACACACACACACACACACACACACATATTTGTACTGAAGGATCATAATGTTTCTCATTATTAAAATAACCACAGAATTAACTTTTGCCTCCAGGGAAAAACAGATGGCAGTTTGATGGCCTCGTTTTTCCTTTGGTTCCTCTTTAGTAAGATTAATGATTTATATCGACTGATGCAGTCTATTATATTCTCTTCATATTTTTCCTGTTTCTGGAGCAGTAATAAGGGGAAATAGAAACCCATTTCTATGGTGAACTTAATCTCTTTAAAGGTATTACTTCAAAAACATCAGGTGATCTTGCAAATACATTAGCTTTGAAGTTGCCAGGAGTCTTTTTGATCAACCATGTGAGAGTGATACACTTTTGAAATACCAGCAAAGGTTCCCTGGCACACTCCGATTCTTTAGTCACAGAGGTTTAGATTGTGACTCCAAAAATTTGGGATATACAGTAACTCAATAATGGTTTTTTAAAAAAATAAGAAAAGGGTGATTTCTTCTTGGTTTTAGAAGCGCTCTTCTCACTTGCTAGCTTCTAACAATCTCCCCTCATTAATTGTTTTGTTTGCCTTCAAGTCATTTCTAACTTGGGATGACCCTATTGCAGAGTTGGCAGTATTTGTTCAGAAGCGATTTGTTAATACTTTCCTTTGAGTTTGAGAGAGTGGGACTTACCCAAGGCCTCCAAGTAGGTTTGATGGGAAAACAGGGGTTTGAAACATGGTCCCCAGAATCATAGGGCTCACCTGCACTGCTCACTTATGTTGGCGTGTAACTGGAAATGGGAGAGGGAAGGGAGGCTTTCTCCCTTCCATCTCCCTCAGTGCAGCAGCCCTCTGGCTGATGTCACCCAGAGCACTGAGGAGCAGATAGGTGGTGTGTCATGCCTGGGGACACGAGGCGGGGGGGGGGGGGGGGGGGGGCAGACAGTGACTGCCCAACAGTGTTTGGTGTAGCTGGGCAGTAGGGACTCTCTCTCACTCCCAAGGTGGTTGGGGAAGTCCCAATCAGGACACTATGTGGGTCCCATCTGGTGTCCTGGATGCTGCATTGGACCTGCATTAGCTGTCAGTGTAGAAGGACTCATAGTCCATTACATCATCTTGGCTTCCAATTGTCATGGGAAATTAAAGTTGAAGGTTGGACTGTATCTGATACAACCTGCTCATCCCATATTTTTATGTGAATCTTTGGTCTGAAACCTTTACCATGCATTGCACACCTGTTTATAATGTGTCAATCTCTGAGAGACTAGAAGAAAAGATCCCCCTCTTTCCTTGAGAAATGGTAGGATTGGACCCATTATCAGCACTGCCTTGGAAGTAATTTCCTTTCTCACTGAAACCAAATGAGAGAGGAGGAATGGTAAAATCTGTACAACAAAATACTGTATTTTCTGGTGTATAAGACTACTTTTTAACCCAGGAAATTATTCTCAGAAGTTGGGGGTCGTCCTATACACTGGGTGTCATCTTATAGAGCAGGTGCTGAAATTCCCAAGCCGGACTGGAGAATCTGCGATCGCTGCATATGGTGGAGGCATTATGGTAGAAGAAAATCAACTTGCCAGAATTTGTGGAAAGAAGTGACTTAATAGTGTCCCAATGACAAGGTGAGGGGTTGCCTCACTGGGAAGGTGTAGGTGAAGGAGGGAGTAAGCTGCAGGCGTCCGGGACGCCCAGGCTATGGAAAAAAGAGATTGAGTGGCGCTGAGTCTCTTTCATCCATCTGGCCCACCCTTGTATCCTATTACTGTACCTCCTTCTCTGCCTCTCAGGTCTCGCTCCTGAGGACTTCAGTGAAGTGGTGCAGGCATGCATGTGCGAGATCTGAGAGGCAGTGAAGGAAGCATGGTGATAGGAAAATTAGCATATTGAAATCAAATCTGATGTTTTTTAAATTTTTATTTGGTGTGCGTTGGAAGAGGAGTAGTCTTATACGGCGAGTATATCCCAAACTCTATATTTTAACTGGAAAATTTGAGGGTCGTCTTATATGCCCAGTCATCTTATACACCGGAAAATATGGTAATATGCTACCTCTGAATGTTGTGGAGTTTCCTTTTCTGCAGGGCTATCTGTTGGTAATGCTTTGATTATCTGTATCTGTATGGCTGGAGGTTGGGTTGGATGGCCCTTCAGGTGTCTTTCTGATCTTGTGATTTTTTGAGCAACTGAAAAGGTTTTGGGGGAAGACTCCTTCATCTCAGTATAAAAGGGTGTTATTTATAGCTTGGGAGTTAGGATTTCTACACAACAGATACACATAATGAGGAAATTAAGCCATTACTATTTCCATTAAGAAGTGGCTGGTAATAAAGAGTGTTCTTTTTTAAAATATTGAACTTTTAATAGGTGGGATTGTATTAATTTAAATAAATCATTGTGGATTAATTTTGTGTGTTTTAGTGCTTTAGATGAATTTCAGTCAACTGGGTTAATCCTTTCATTCTGCATGTATTTCTATATAAAGAGGAACAAAAGACTGTTTTCAGATAGAGGAAATATGTATTGGATTACATATAGATTGGCATTGTGTTAATGAGTTACAGTAGCTCCAATTCAACACATGTCATTGTTCTTAACTTTTTGGTCATTGTAGAAGTCAGAATTCTGTACCAACCACACCACAAACAAAATGAGCCTTTCCTTTGCTGTAGTCCTCTTCTTACAACATGGGTGTTTACTGGCTGATGGAGAAAGAAATGCTGTGGAGAAGCATCTAACTGTGTCCCTATATCATCCCCCAGGACTGCTAAAGGACCCCTTTGGAATCATGGAGGATACCTGTTGTTATTAATCCAGCTGTAGAACAATAGCTGGATGCATCTCTGCCAGTCTCTAGTGGCCAGAAAATGGCTGTATTGGGGGAATTGCTGGATAGAAAGAGTGATATTTGAGACAAGGTGAAGGATGGGAGATCTGTTATAGATATGCACATGCCATACATCTGCTTATCCAGGATCTCAACCCCTATCCTAGAAGAGGCTTTCTTTTATGTCAGTGAGAGAGAGAGCACTTTTTCTAGGTTGACCTTTGTGAGATAACCAATCAGGCAGCAGCCCAATTGCTCACCAGAGCAGCATGCAGGGAGCATACCACTCCACTGTTAGGTCAGCTCCACTAGCTGCCAGTTTGCTACTGAGCAGAATTCACAGTACTGGTTTTGGCCTACAAAGCCCTATACAGTTCCAGCCCAGCTTACTTGTTCAAATGTATCTCCCTATATGATCCACCTTGGAGGTTAAGATCACCCTGCTCTTGATCCTGCCACCCTTGCAAGTGCGATTGGCGGGGATGAGAGTCAGGGCCTTCTCTATGGTGGCTCCCTGTCTGTGGAACTCATTCCCTAATGAAATCAGGTCAGCCCCCTCTCTCCTATCCTTTAGAAAAAATTAAATCATGGTTGTGGGACCAAGCATTTGAGTAGCAGATGCAGTGATAATAATGTAAATGATTTTTATGAGTGACAATGGACAGACCTCAGATTAAGACTCTGGATATGGATTTGTTTAATTTTTAAATTGATGTTTATAATTTGATGTTTTTAACTAATGTTTTAATTGTGATTTTATTACTATTGTTTGTTTGGCACCTAATGGTTGCAGCTTGTGAGCTGCCCTGAGTCCACCCCCCTCCCCCGGGGGTGGGGGTGGGGGTGGGATGAGAAGCATGGGATATAAATGTCTGAAATAAATAATAAATAAATTATAGATATTATAAATTTCTGCTATTCATTAAATGTTTTGGTTAATCTGGGATACTTGTAAAATAAATTATATTTTTAACTAATTAAGTTCTCGTGTCCTATTTATAGATTCACTCTTTTAAAAACCCAGATGGTGTCTTAAAACCTCATGAGGGTATTAAAATGAGAACATATAACAATATAAATAAAGTGTGAGACATTCCTCCCCACTGAACATGTAGCTGCATGTTCTTCTTTTTCAGCAACCATCTTCCTTGAACATTGCAGGCATTCCAAATGCTGTAGATATGGACTTGTCTTCTGCAAGGGTTTCCAAGTCATCTGGTCCTCAGGCAAAAGAAATCCCCCATGTAACATCCTGCCAGTCCCAGAATATGCCAATTTCTTCTGATGTGCCACCTAAAATTGTTCCTAATTATAGCTTGGATTTGGATAGGAATAAAAATGACCTGTCCACTAACAATACTGACCATATAGCAACTGGTGGAATGCCCCTGCTGAGCACAGTGTGCAAGGTAAGAACTGTTGTAGGTAGAAAATATAATTTTATTGTGTGTAAATGACAAACAAAAAGCAAAAATTATGTACGAATAGGACAGCAAAGACTAACAGAAACTACAATTATAACATCTTACGCCTTGCCCTCCTACCTGACAACCATGAAATCATCACCTATGGCTTCTGACACTACTCAATGTGAATCTTATGCCTATTAAAAACCTACCCTTATATCTGTTTTAATAAAGCATTTTATTAATACCAATAAGCATTTGGTATTCCTTGATGGTCTGCTATCCAATTAGTAACCAAGCCTGACTGCTTAACTTCAGACAAAATGTATATATGGTAAATCATAGAATCATAGAGTTGGAAGATACCTCATGAGCCATCCAGTCCAATCCCCTGTCAAGAAGCAGGAAAATTGCATTCAAAGCACCCCCAACAGATGGTCATCCAGCCTCTGTTTAAAAGCCCCCAAAGAAGGAGCCTCCACCACACTCTGGGGCAGAGAGTTCCACTGCTGAACGGCTCTCACAGTCAGGAAGTTCTTCCTAATGTTCAGATGGAATCTCCTTTCTTATAGTTTGAAGCTATTGTTCCGCATCAATCGCTGATATGAATTTATCAAATAGTGGGATCACTTGTTCTCCACGCTCAAGTGGGGCTTGGGGTTGTGTTCCATGAACAGAATCTTTCCATGCCACAGACAACATTTAGTGAAGCTCTATGTATGTGTGATTTAAAAGCCTGTTTGTGAAGTGGCATGTGGGTCAATCATTTAGGTGTCCCTTTGAGTAGTCCTAAAATTACTCTTTGGATCCCAGCCTTTGTGTACATAATTAGTATATCCCAACACTGCTATATCATTCTACAAATGATTTTACCATCATTTTGTCAACCTTGATATATTTAAAAGTTGTACATTTCAATGTCTTTTTTTTTTTAATTGCAAGCTGGAAAGTGAAGACTTTGTTTCAGCAAGTTTCAGTCTTGGAAGCAACTCCATCATCACTCCACCAGAGTCAAAAGACACTGACACCTTAGCTCTTCCTATGCACAATATTCTGGAAGAACCTATTAATCTTTCAGTAAAGAAGACTCAACCATGTGTCTCTCCTTCCATACATGCCAGCAACTCTGATCGTATACAGTCACCTAATTCAACTCCAAAACACAGTGAAGGTACCGGTTTTCTTGATTTTCTTGATCTATTCAAAATTGTCTATTAAGATAATGTGCTCTGTTGCTGATAAAACAAACATTCAGAGGAGAGGACCAACCCATCTTCTCTAAATGTACCAATTTATGTTCAGTTTAACACTAGAAGTCTCATCTTTTGTTTCAATACTGCCTGAGTTGTAATGATCAGAGAAGACCTCTATCACACTATATTGTTATATGTTGCAGATTTTCTACAGTTTTAAATGTTTATGTTTTTGATGAGATGGTGCATGTTATTCTATTGTAAGCTTATGTGATTACCTACATTATGCTGTATTCAGTCTTTCGTTCTAAACTGAACCAGTTCTCCTGTTCAAATCCATGTAATTAGCCTACAGTGCATATTAGTTTAAAAATCACAGTCATGTTTGATGCTTATATCTTACTCACTGAAATAAGGTGCTCAAATTGGATATGGTGCTCCTGTTATCCAGAGCTCATTTAATCCCTGAATTTTGACAAATCCAATACTTTATTCTCTACCAGAAATGAATATTTTCTCATATGTAATAGAGATGTGTGAAATACATTTGCTTCCAAAGCTTCTTTCTGATCCTGCATGTCCAGAGTACCCTGTTTTGTTACAGAAAAAACAAATATTGTAGGATGAAATTCTATCATTCTGGAGGAGGTGGTTTCCAACTTCCAAAAAATAGCATGTTCAGAGGGAAATGATCTATAGAGATCCTTTGCATTGCTGGTGATAGAAAGCCATCTTGTCCTAGTAGCATCATAACTATCTCAGTCTGGAATATCAGTATGCAAAGGGATTTCATAACATCTGAGAGACTAACTGAGAAGATGAAGTCGGTACTCTACAAAAACATATGCTTCCAACTTTGTTTTCTCAGTTAGTCTCTAAGGTGCTATAAAATCCCTTAGCATACTGGCCTCAGGATAAGGAGAATTCAAGTGACAAGAGAAAAGATTCTACCTAACCATTAGGAAGAATTTCTTGAATATGTGACAATGGAGTGGACTGCTTCAGAGGGAGATATTTAAACAAAGGTTGGATGGCCAAGCTTCAGTAGTAATTTTGTTGTATATATCTGAATAGCAAGGTTTGAACTACTGTAGATGGTCCTTCCAAGTCTATGATTCAGTGGCTTCTGTGACTAATCATAGAAAGCTTTAGATATCTTCCTCTTTGGATGTGGCCCTGTGATAGGAGAAAAACCACCCTAGCTCTGGAATAATTTTAAAAAGCAAAGCAAAAGCAAATCCAACTGGGGACATAAAACCTCCCTGCTTCCATCATGAGGAACATGAGCCCAGTAAAGCTTAGGAAGTGACATGGACCTCAGCCTACCAATCAATTACTGATTTCTTAATCAGTACAAAGGAGATTATGGATGCCAAAATGTAACTTACTTTAGTTGTGTTAAGTTTTTTGCTATTCCATCCATTTTTCTTCTTTCAGATTGCCATAAATGCGAGGAGAAACATTTTGAAATGGAGGATAAAAATAAGCAGAGCAGCAGGTAATCAAGTTTTTTGAAACATGCAAAATTTAAATAAAAGGAATTCTTTTTTTTCTCCTTAGAAGATAGTATAAATTGCACTTAATGTTGAAGCCATCCAGATAAGTTTTCCAGGCTTATGAAATATCTCAAGCACATTGTCTGTTATGAAAATTATTTTGCACTACAATCCTAAATCATAGAATCATGGAATCATAGAGTTGAAAGGGACCTCATGGGCCATCCAGACCAACCCCCTGCTACGAAGCAGGAAAATCGCATTCAAAGCACCCCCGACAGATGGCCATCCAGCCTCTGCTTAAATGCACACAGTGTTCTTTAAGACTGCAGATGTCTCCACATTTTACTCTTAATACTATCTAAATTGAGAGTTTGTGTAGTATAGTGATTTGAGAGGTGGGCTATGACTCTGGAGACAAAGGCCTGAATCTCCACTTGGCCCTGGAAACACACTGGGTGTCCTTGGCCAAGTCACGCTCTCTCAGCTTTGAGGAAGGCAGTAGCAAACCTCCTCTGAACAACTCTTGCCATGGGTTGCCATAACTCAGAACAGGCTTGAAGGTATACAACAACACAATCTGTGTGAATGTTAAAACCCTACAGCATTTTATGAGACATGGCTGGCATTTCTTAGTTCTTATTTTTAAATATGGTATTTACACAGTGGTGTATAAAATCGTAAAATGAAGCTAAAGGTTTACATTCCTCTAATGTGTCTAGTTGAAACTTGGAACTGACTGATTATAAACAGCTAATTGGTTTAAATTAATTCCTTTTTCTAATAATAAATTTGTACCTAAATTGTATTAAAGTTGCAACTTATCAAGAGATATTTTTAAAAGCTACAGCATAATGTGGCTTTTTACTTACTTTTATAATTATGCGGGATACCTTTTCTAAAATGATAGAAGAGGAATGAAGCCTCTGGCATCCATTTGTGCGTGAGGATTTTGTTGATTCTTCATTATGAGTTATTTAATTCTGTCTTGAAATAGCAAATTAATTAATAAAATCTCATTCAAGTATGCTGATTAACTATTTTAAAAGACAAGCCAGCCTGTCAAATTGCATGGTGCTCATACAGGTAAAATGAAGTGATGACCTTTCAGAATCCTGATGACATCAATCTTGTATTAACCATTCATTTTTAGGACTTGTGCAAGAGAGGTGAAAGTCCCTTACGTGAGACTGGAACGACTGAAAATACACACATCAGATTCTGGAGAGCTTCCAGTATTTAAACTCCAGCCACAAAAGAATGAACATGACGGGACTTTCCTGCTAATAATTGAATGTGGTGCTCAGTCTTCAAGCATGGCTATAAAGGTAAACTCAGCTTGACTGGTTGGATTGCTTCACTCCATGCATATGAAGAAGTAGTCTTGTTGTGTGAAAATTTAAGCTACCAACCCTCATTCTCTTGAACAAGTTGTTTATTGTACTAGCCATAGGCCATGACATCAAATAATATACAACTTTTAGAAGTACACTATACACTTTCCAATATAAACATTAAAACTTATTCTACAAACTAGCTCTTTCAAATTACAGTAGTAGTGACAATCCCCATAGGCATGACATTCTCTTGGTTAGTTTCTACAAGATCCTCTTGCATACTGACTTTTCTGGACTGAGACAGATATGTTTTTGGTTTGACTGCTCTTTGTCACTTCTTCCATTCTCACATATGCTTAAACTTTGTTGCACAGGCAGTCCCCAAGTAATGTACAAGATATGTTCTGTAGGTTTGTTCTTAAGTTGAATTTGTTTGTACATTGGAAAATGTACATTTGTTAAGTGTTCCTCCAGCCATAGATAGATAGATAGATAGATAGATAGATAGATAGATAGATAGATAGATAGATAGGCAGAGAGAGAGAGACAGAGAGAGAGAGACAGAGAGAGACAGAGAGTGTGAGTGCAGGAGAGCGAGTGTGCTTTGGATAGCATAGGGAAGGGTTAACACCCCTGTGATATTTGTTGTTGTTGCTTGGGCCCTGTTTAGAAGATTTCTTTTCATTTTCTGTCCCTGTGATCATTGCATTTTGAAAAATGTAGCTTGTTGTGGAAACAAGGATTGGTGATAAATCTTCAGTCGAGACACCTTTTCCCCATGATAACTCTTTCGGGAGTGGATTTCCCTTCCAAGGGGTAGATTTCTCTCACTTATTTGAAAGTTGAATGTTTGTAATTCAGGGACTGCCATATGTTTAAATTCTCTGATGACCTCGATCAGATAATTTTACTATGGCATCACACCTGGGGCCAAATTACAGGTGGCAGTAACCATCTATGATCGTCTCTCTTATCTTCACCATCATATCTCTTGATGCTTCAGAGATTTCTTTTTCTGGGGGTCATGGGGCTGTGTAAGATTTAGGATCAAATCTCCACTTTGCTATACATCTTACTGGGTGACCTGTGCCAATCATTCTCTGGCTTAACTTCTTATTAGAGGAGTCTTATGATAAGAAAATGGAGTTGAGGAGTGCAATGATGTAACAAACCAACAATACCTATATATATATATATATATATATATATATATATATATATATATGAAATTCTAAAGCCTAAGTCAGTGTTTCAATCTTATTTGCCCTCAAGGAATCCAGTTGGCTGTGGGAAACTAACACTTCTGTTTGATGTTTTGTTTCATGTTTGATATAATAGGTTGTGTTTTTCAATTTAATTTTAGTTGTTAAGTTACAATTTTCCTTTTATATGTTGGGCTGTCAATTTTTGTTTTCGTGTATATTGCTTGTTATGTTCAGACATTGAATGTTTGCCATTTATGATTGGAATCCGCCTTGTGTCCCTTTGGGGAGACACGACAGAATATAAATTAAGTTTATATAATAAACTTATATAAATTAAGTATATATTATTATTATTATTATTATTATTATTATTATTATTATTATTTCTCAAACTCTGTTCCTCCAGGTGTTTTGGGCTTCAGGTCCCAGAAATCCCAGCCAGCTTACCAGCTGTTAGGAATTGTGGGAACTGAAGTCCAAAACACCTGGAGGAACAGAATTTGAGAAACACTGGTCTAAATGGAAGTTTCAGATGATAATGGATTATAGCTGCTGAGGGGAATAATTTATAGCTGCCAGTGCCAGTGGTTTGAATCCAGAATTGCCCAGAGTGGAACTCCATGGACTGGAGGTTCCTGTGGGCAGAAATGAACACATTTTACATGCCCCCACTCCCCTACAGTCCTTATGTTTCTCAAAATCTGCCCTGGAGACCTGTAATAGTACTACTGAGGGAAAGAAGAATTGGCAGACACCCTCTCCCTGCTTTCGCCAATGAATCCGTGTTCCATCCAATGATTCTTCTACTCATGAAGAGGCAAAGCAGATACAACAGATTGTCTAACCCTAGAACTAGAAGGAGAATTAATGGTGTTTGTTACAGTGCAAGGCAAATTTCTTCTAGCTGTTGATTCACATTGTAAGTAAAGGGTATTTTACAATGTCTTTCTCAATATATCTTATGGAGGGAGGAGGGGCTCTGATACTCTGAGGGGCATGCCGCTTCAAAATCACAGCTTCCCTAATTAGTTGTTTAATCTATTGATTAGATGAATTAAAGCTTCAGGCATATTTTTTAATGAATGTAAATGGGACAGTGCAAATATACTTGAAATTCCAATAGCCCACCAGCACGTCATTGAGGGGAATTGCCATATTTAATGTGCAATGACTTACTGAAAAGGTATAATATAGCTTTTCAGATCCAGATGTGATGAAGATGTTTGCCTTGAGGCCTTTATTCATTGCATTCCAGCTTCTGCAGTATTTCATTGTGCATGAAAATGAAATGTTTCCTAATGGAGACTTCTCTTTTCATTTAAGATCAATCAAGGAAACTCATCTGAAAGACTGAACCCCATGTCCTTGGAAAAGAGAAGGATTCTTGCAAACCAATCTGAGCAAATGTCACTTCCTTCTGTAGCTCACAGGCTAAGTAATAGCGTGAAAAAATCAGTGCTTTCTGAGGAAGACCATCCCATTGAGAATGAGGACTTTTGTGCTGTGTGTCTAAATGGAGGAGAGCTATTGTGCTGTGATTACTGCCCAAAGGTGTTTCATCTCTTATGCCATGTTCCTGCTTTGCTTAGCTTTCCTGTGTGAGTATATGACAAAAGGAGGAGGACTGGTTCAATTTGACACATTGATACATATGCCTGAGACTTGCTGGGCTCAGTTCTTTGGGGCTATTTTGTACCACCAACCCCTTCAAGATCCCTGTGTGGGTTTCATTGTTCTTTTTAAATTTTCAGAATTGTCCTGAATTGATAGGCTATCCTTTATGTAATGAATAACATCTGGTGGCTCTGTAGGAACTGCTGTTCCTACCATGAGGGTGTCACAAGGTGTCTGTAAAATGACAGGGTGAAGGCTGCATACAGTCTGTGGGGTCCATTTTGCTCACCCATGAGAAATACTAGTCAGACACAGCTTAGGGAAAGCTAGGATCTATATCTGCACCATGTTTTATATTGCTAAAATTTATTCCTAAAGAGCACAGGATCAGTATAGACTTGTGCAGCATCCATAAAATGAGCTTTCTCTGCCTAAGGCAACTAGTAGAAGATCATTCGTCTTCCATAGAATCAACAATAGGTCTGGTGACTTACTAGGATTTTTCCCCCAGCTTTTTTTTGGTCAAGGCATCTTTTACTACTGTTTAATTTTGTGAAGTTGCAATCTACAGCAACAAACTAAGCATATCTTCTTTCTGTGCTTCAGAGGTGAATGGGTGTGTACACTTTGTAGCAATGTGGAGAAACCAGAAGTAGAATATGACTGTGAAAACACACGTTTCAACTGCAGTAATGCGATCATGCCAGCAAGAGAAATGCATGATCTTGATGACTATGACCAAAAGGTGAGTCCAGAAGAATATAGACAAGGGATATATGGTCTTCTCTTCTTCTTCAACAATGTATATTGTCCTGCAGTATGTGTGTATACATATCCCAAGAAAATTAGAAGTAGAACAATTGATTTGACCTGTTTCAAATACAAGGCAGGATAAAAATGCTCAATTAGTATACGTAGAGAAGGTGTAGCCAGATGAATAGGTGTTGCATGTTATTGCAAATGTTTCTTCATGTTTTGAGGTCATAATTTTTTACATTCCAGAAATGATTGCAAGCAGTGGGAAGAAACAAGACACAGCACATGAATGATTTTAACTGGACACTTATTTATATTGATTGCTTGATATAACTTATACCCTCATCTTTCTCTTACATTAATTAAAAATTAAGCTAAAACATTAGTGACTTCGTTGGTTTTAATGTTACTTTAAAGGACTGAATTTTATCTAGATGTCTCAAACAGTTATTAGGATACTGTGACTTTTTATTTTTTGTATTTATCACAATTTATAAAATTACATTAAAAGATAGAGGAAAGAAATGAAAAGGAACAGATAGAGAAGGGGGAAAAAAGACTTTCAATCTTCCTCTCAGCCATTCTATATACATACACAATCACATCTTTCTCCCCAGTATTAATCCCAAAACTTTTGTTTCCATAATCAATTCATGCCATCCAAACATTATGTCATGGCTTCTAGTTATTTAGGGGACATCATCACATTCCAGTCTTCCATGAAAAATCCATCAACATTCCCATAAATTTATATCTCCTCATTTGGATCATATAATCCTGCCAGCAACGTGTTAGTTTTGTATATATTCATCTCCACTCTGGCATCACGTATATTGGTCAGAATAAATTTTGGCTATATTTGAGGATGTGTGTGTGTGTGTACACACACACACACACACACACACACACAACTTCATTTCCTTTTTTGATCCTGCCACAATAAAGTTTTCACCTGGACTTTTAAAAATCAAATATTTAGTATACTTCTTTTTATATGGCTTTCTTATAGACAAATTGCATTTTGTTATTAGGACTTTCCACGATATTATTAGCTAGTTTTGGAATAAAAAGGAGGAAGGGAGAGTGTTTTCCCCTCAATCAGCTTTATCTGAGAATCAGTTGTAAGGTGGGAAGTAAAAATAATGTGAAAAAGAAAGTAATTTATAATGGGTAATATAGGTCCAGTGAAAATGAGCCAGAAGTTTGTGTTATCTTTTTTAGATAGAGTAACCTGATTTAGAACTGGGCAGAGGTAGGAATGCTAAGAATTATTCATGTATCTTTAAAAAATGTATGTGAATTGTAAACTTGGATTTTACAGAAATGTGAGAAACTGGTGCTTTCACTACTCTGCAATAACCTGAGTCTTCCATTCCATGAGCCAGTCAGTCCTCTGGTGAGTATTATACAATCTTAGGGCTCTCCCAGGTTGGGGTGAAGAAGTGAGAGGTCTTGTGCAATATAGCTTTTTTAAGGTTTTGCTGAAGTTTGCCAGTTATTGTCACCTTTACATCCCTTTGTTCTGTTCTTTTTTGTAGACTATTTGTAGGTATTTCATAGATCTGCACCAGGGTGCTAAAGATTTTTGGTTTTTCTTTTCTTTTCTAAGGAACAACTTACAGATTGGATATATTTAGCTTGGAGAAGAGAAGTCAGACATGATAGCTATCGTTAAATATCTGAAGGGATATTCTGGAGAAGAAAGAGCAAGCATCTTTAGAGACTTGAACATTAACCTGGGGATGCAAATTTACAAATTGCACTAAAAACATTAGGTAGATTTTTTTTTAACAGTGGAATAGATTGCCCTGGATGATGATGGGCTCCAACTATGGAGATTTTTATACAGAGGATGGACGGACATTTTTTAGAGGTGCTTTAGTCGTATATTCCTTCATGGCAGATGTTAGATGAGATAGCCATTATGTTCCTTTCCGGCTTCTAGATGCTATGATTGTCCTATAAAGACTGAATACCAAACCTTCCAATAGCTCTATACCATGCTGTTATGTTCCTCTCGGCTTTCTTTTTCCATCTAAGCAAAATAGATAGAGGTGTTTTGATCTCATGAAGAGATTAGTCTACTATTTTCCGGGATTTCCCTTTTAGTTCCATCATCTCATTGCCATTTGAACTGTAACTTATTATGCAAAATGGGAAAATGCTTTCTTGTTTCACAGCATGTTTTTTTAAGTTTAAAGAATGCTTGTTATTATCAAAAATCTCATGCCAACAAAAAATTCTTTCCAGGCTCGGCATTATTATCAGATCATCAAAAGGCCCATGGACTTATCCACCATCCGGAAAAAGCTCCAGAAAAAGAACAAATTGCATTACTCCACCCCCGATGAGCTTGTAGCAGATGTGCGTCTTATGTTCTGGAACTGCGCAACATTCAACTATGTAAGTACTTTTGATCCACAAATTAGCCCGCAGAGCTACCGTATAAGTGACTTGGGACTGGGCATTTTTTTCTTGCAATAAAAAGACAATTGGCTTTTAAATTATTGTCTCATACATTAATGAAAGTGGCTGATCTTTGTGTATTACTTTTATGTTTTTTCTAATCACCTTTGTCCATTCTTTTTGGAAATTGAGGGCTTTTGAAAATAATTTGCCTTTTCCATAGATAAGTAGTTCTCAAATTTCCTAATGCCGTGACCCTAGTTCCTCATGTTGTGGTGACCCACAACCATAACATTATTTTCGTTGCTACTTCATAACTGTCATTTTGCTACTGTTATGGATCGTAATGTAAATATCTGATATGCAGAATGTATTTTCATTCACTGGAACAAATTTTGCTCAAATACCTCATACGCCCAAATTTGGATATTAGTGGGGTTGATTTTGTCATTTGGGAGTTGTAGTTGTTGTCATTTATAGTTAACCTACAATCAAAGAGCATTCTGAACTCCACCAATGATGGAATTAAACCAAATTAGGCACACAGAACTTTCATGACCAACAGAAAATACTAGAAGGGTTTGGTGGGCATTGACCTTGAGTTGTGGAGTTATAGTTCACCTACATCCAGAGAGCACTATGGACTCAAACAGTGATGAAACTGGACCAAACTTGGTATGAATACTCAATATGCCCAAATGTGAACACTGCTGGAGTTAGAGGAAAATGGACTTGACATTTGGGAGTTGTAGTTGCTGCGATTTATAGTTCACCTACAAAGAACATTTCGAACCCCAACAACAACAGAATTGGGCCAAACTTCCCACACAGAACCCCCATGACCAACAGAAAATACTGTGTTTTCCAATTGTCTTTGGTGACCCCACTGACACCCCCTCACGACCCCCCCTCGGGGTCCTGACCCCCAGGTCGAGAAATGCTGCCTTAGATCTTTGTTACCTACAGAACTGATTCTAGAACCTGTTACCTTGTCCTTTTAGATATAATAATGTTTTGCTCTCTATTATCTAGAGACATGACTTATGACATCTTCCCACCAGCATTATAGAATGGAAGCCAATCATACAATCCACTCCTGCAGAATTCTGAGAAATGTAGTTTAGTGAAGCAGAGGACCTCTCTAGCAATAAGAAAAGGAAATTCAAGAGGCTCGTGGTCTCAAAACATAGAGAGCAGGTTTGTTGAAGTGAACAGTGTGTTACTGAAGTATGATGCCTTCCCTTATAGCCTGATTCAGAGGTTGCTGAAGCTGGACGATGCCTGGAAATATTCTTTGAAAGCAAACTGAAGGAGATTTATCCAGAAAAACAATTCTCGTTGGTACAGCAAGATGATTCTGATTCAGATGACGTGGAGCACGACACAAACCAAGTGGCTGCCAAAGGATTCCAGTGGCCTTCCTATAGACCAGAGTGCATTCAGCCAAAAAGAAGGCGACGACATGCTGTAAGAACACAAAAACAGAAACCTTTGATTACTAATGGCGACACAGCTGATTTTGATCTGAACTATTGAGGCAAAGCTTTGACAGTATTATCACAGTGGGTTAATCTCTCTGTGTGCCAATTACTTAGGTCATAGCATATTAAAAATTGTTACTGGATGCTTGTTCTCCCATTCAAAAAAATCTGTGAATTTTTCTATTACATACAATCCTGACATATGAATTATATCAAAAGTTGTTGGGGGGGGGGGGGCAGAGCGGAAAGGAATGCAGTATTGCAAATGCATCTGTCCATGTAATATTTTTTTATGCTGCCCACTACCAGAAAGTATCTAAATTAAAAAGGATTAATCCTTAAACCTTATCAAAAATTAGGAAAAAAACCAGTTTGAAAACACAATTAGTCTGGGACTGCAAATATGCAGGCTTTCAGATGTTGTTAGACTATACCTTCTAGCAGAATAATGACAAGGAATGCTGGGGCTTATTGTTCAGTAACATCTGGAGGGCTGCAGTAATTAATATACCAACATACTTGTCATATTTCCTCTAGATGATCAAAATTTTGATCTGGCTGTCCATGTATTCATAAAAGTCTTAATTTTCAGTTATATAAAGAGATCACTGTGAAGAAGGGGAGGTGGTGAGATGAGGACCTGTTTAATTATATTTCCAGAGGAAATACCGTGCAAAATAATATTTGAAAAGATTAGACCCTTTATTGATTTACCCCTTTGTTTCTTTTGTACACAGGAGAGTGAAAAAACTAAAAGACCAATGTTTTGGCCAGCGAAAGGCCTTTCTCAAGTGTGATCTCTGGACTCATGTTTAGAATGCCATGAAGAACAAAATCAAAGAATTGACTGTATGAAAGCTGATCAAAATGTCACTGAGAAGTTTCACTTGGACTGCACTCTAGTGGTTGACCAACATCATTTCTAGACCATTTGGGAATATTGTTGTCAGCATAATGTAAATTCAGTGGCTAGTCTCCCAGCTATCTTTATCTAATAAGTTGTATTCACATCAATATTTTAGCCAAATACTGTAGCGTTTAATACAATTAGGGCAATTGTTATACTGTTCTTAAAATTATGTTATACATTTACATTACATATCATAGCTAACATTAGTCTTCTGGCAAGCTTACCATTTCAGGGCAGCAAAGACTCTATACTGGATTAAAGTCAGGAGCCATTTTACCATAGAGGGTCCATCTTCTTCTGTACTGAATAAAACTTATTCTATGCTTTTTATGGTATGAAAAATACACTTTGTACTGTATTTCCTATCCTTGTACACAGCATGACAATGGAAAATCCTATTCCTGGGCTTCAGCTGAAGCAGTGACTGTGGCATCAGAAGCTGTATTTCACGTCTTTGTTACCTATTTACAAGACCAGATGATGTTAGGAGAAATAAAGTGAGAGAGCTGGAATGTTAATCTTTAATTCTAGAGAGAAAATGTAAGAGTGACTACTGGAAGTGAACTGGTACAACCATCATTTGCAATATGTGGGTTTAATGAAATCTGACACTAGGAGCTTGTGCAATACCTGTGTTCAGCTTCTCATCGTCCCTTGTTTAAGTTTACTTTAAAATAGGGGCCAGGGCAGTGCTGAAAGGTGCCATTTTTATTGACTTTATGGACATTTTCACCCTCTCACTTGTTTGGTACAGCACCAGATATTTAAAACATGTTAGTGGAGATTGGATATGATTGCAATATACTTAGGTGCTTCCTTTTTGTGTTTCCTAGCTGTCATTGGCTTTTTAAAATGAGTGCTGTTTTCAGACCTCCAAAGGGAAGTGATTTCTCTGTAAATTTACTTTCTCTGTAGATTTGCTGTAAATTGAAGAGAGCTCTTTATGACTTTATTGAATATGGTATCCATGGATGTCATAATTTAGCAATACCTGAATATTTTTCTTCCTGTTGCCAATGTTAATATTGTTCGACATAAATACTATAGAAAATTGTGGTCTCTTTTCATATTATAAAATACTTTAAATGTTAAGCCATGTCCTTTCCTACAGATGTTCTTAGGTATTTATTTATTTATTTACTTTGTTTTATATCCTGCCTTCTCTCCCTCACTGAGGGACTCAGAGCAGCTAACAATCAGCAGCAATTCAATGCTGTTCAAACATAGTACAATACTAATAGAAAATATTTAAAAATCAGAAAACACAAAAGTTCCAACAGCAATATATGAAAAACATGATAAACAGTTTTAAGACAATATTTAAGCCAATTATATTAAATGCCAATTCCATCTCATTGTCATAATCAAATCCAATAGCCATTTAACACGGTTATTCGTTATCTTCCCCAAAAGCTTCCTCCCAGAGGACAGTTTTTACTTGCTTTCTGAAGGATAACAGGGAGGGAGCCATTCTGTTATGTCTTTAGGGAGGGCAGTCCAGAGCCAGGGAGCCACCTCTGTGAAGGCCCTCTTTGTCATTCCCACCAGCTGCACCTGAGACAGGGGTGGGACTGAGAGAAGGGCCTCTCCGGCAGATCATAGAGTCTGGCCAGGCTCATATCAGGAGATGTGGTTGGAACCATTCTGAAAGCATTTGCCTTTTCAAACATACCAGCTCCTATTGAGTCATAAACCTCTTGGTTCTTTAGCCAGCCCCTCTTGGGAGATAGGGCGGAATGAAGTTTTTATTACCGTATATTCCGGCATATAAGACGACTGGGCATATAAGACGACCCCCAACTTTTCCAGTTAAAATATAGAGTTAAGACGACTCCCATGCATAAGACTACACCCGCGTATAAGACGACCCCTGACTTTTGAGAAGATTTTCTTGGGTTAAAAAGTAGTCTTATACGCCAGAATATACTGTATTAACCTGGTATTAAACCAATGTGGTAATTGAATTTGAGATGTGCTTAAAATTCTCTTTTGAATAGTTCCTGATTTGGATTCTCATCAAGACCAGCCTACCTAGGATGTAAATGGGGGATCTCTATCATCTGACAACAGAAGCACAGCTAATGGGGAGATGAAAGATGGCCCTACTTTGAACAGGCATTTTGTGTGTGTGTGTGTGTGTATATATATATATGTTTTTTTGTATGCTAATCTGCATCTGATTTTATCATTGAAAGATGGAATATAATTACTGAAAGAAAAATAACTAACAGAAAAATGTGAGTAGTGTGTGTGAGTTTTATGTATATTTCATTTGAGCATTGGGGTCAAACATAATTAACATACTTGTATCCATATTTCCAAGTTATTCACCACCTTTCTCTAGGGAAGTGTTACGTAGATATCCTTAAATGAATGACAGTAGTTTTAGTTGCACTGTGAAAGCCCTGAGTCTCAAAGGCATCTATTCTCTTTTGCCAACTGTAAATAGAAGTGAGTGTTGCTATGAGATGAAGTGCCAAGTGAGTTTACTGCTTCTCACGTGGGGAATAGTATTTATGGGAACTAATGTTAGTGATTCAGATAAAATTCATCAGTGCACAAAGATATATACAGCTGTGACAGGGCATAAATTACTTTGTGAAACTAATAGAAAATATAGTAGTGATCACATTTTAAAATGCATTATGGAGGGTAGAGAACTATATTTGCATAAGTGAGGTAAGAAAAAACAGAATAGTCATAGAATCACATTCTTAAATATCACACATCATAAGAAGTGGTCAATATGAAATGTTCAATGTGGACAAATAATTCCTAGCACTACTTTACAGTCACAATTACTGCAAATATAACTGAGGTTTTGGGTGAGTCTGATATATATAAATGTGCATTTTCCAAAGTGTGGGAATGTCTTAAATACTTGATGAGTCAGGTCCAAAACCTTACTGCAGGCTTCATTTTGAATTTAACATAATAATTGGTTGATTATCTATATAAATAAAAATGTAATGTTCATTTGTGGGATTAAAAGAACTCAAAAACCACTGGACGAATTGACACCAAATTTGGCAGCAAAACACATTCTAATCTGATCTACGTCTTTCAAACAAAAAAAAAGTAAAAAAAATGAAGGGGAAATAACTTTAAACTCCCCAAAAAGAAAAATGCCTTACGAAGCATGCGCAAACGCCCCTCTCCCCATTGCGTCCCTTTCCATGCAGGAAGGCACAGTCCTTTTTCTTTTGCAGAGGGGAGGGATTGAGGAAAGGAAAGAGGGAAGGAAGGAGAAGGCCTGGCCCAACGGAGGGGTGGGGGCTTGGCGAGGCAAGAGAAGAATATAGAATCAGAGAGTCCTAGAGTTGGGAGAGACCTGGTGGGCCATCCAGGCAGGCCCGTAGCCAGGATTTCGATTTGGGGGGGGGGCTGAGTTTTTTTCAGGGGGGGTTGGGGGGGGTGAGATTTGGGAGGGCTGAGTCTGAGTGAAAGAGGGTCTACCTAGCAAACCTTTTGTATCATTACCCCAATACCCCCATGCATATGGGATATATTGAGTATGGTGATCAGATCATGATATGAATAAACATAACAGTTTAAATAATGCACCAGTAAGGCCTTCTTGCGAACCACCATGAGAATTTCGGGGGGGGGGGGGGCTGAAGCCCATCAGAGAGTCCTAGAGTTGGGAGACACCTGGTGGGCCATCCAGGCCAACCCCATTCTGTGAAGAAGCAGGAAAATCACATTCAAAGCACCCCCAATAGATGGCCACCCAGCCTCTGTTTCAAAGAGGCTTTTTTGAGTGTTTTGGCCAGCATGAATATAACTGAAAAGCCTTGCAGCTTCAGTGGCTGCTTCTCATTACTTTATTTTCCATACCACCTTGCACCTTAACAGCCTGGCTTCTACTAGCCAGCAGGAAACCTTTGGTGGGAGGAGTTCCCCAGCCCAGATGGCTTCATGTCTGCAAATCCTGTTTTCTGAGGGCCACAGAAACGCGTGGCCGGGTACAGCTAGTATAGTGCATGAGAATTCTTCAAAGTGTCTGTTTAGAAGGTACCCAAAGTGGTTTATCTGGTCCAAAATCTTAGAATATTCCAAGTACCAAACTTGTGATTAAGAATGTGATTTGAATAGCATAGCAGACAGATGTTCACTGTAACTTTGGGCCCTTCCACACAGCTGTATAACCCAGCATATCAAGGCAGAAAATCCCACAATATCTGCTTTGAACTGGGTTATCTGAGTCCACACTGTCATGTATGGACAGCTATGTGGATGGGACCTTAGGGCCTTACAGTATAAGTATATTCAATACCCCATACACACACACACACACACACACACAAGCTGTCCCCTGCCACATGTTGCTGTGGCCCAGTCTGTATATACATCTTTTGTGTGTGTGTATATATGTGTGTATATATTAGTGTCTATGTGTATTTATGTGGTTATGCGCATACGTCGTAATGTAATGTTTTGGGTGGGTTTTTTTTGTTGCTTTTAAGTCACTTCTGCCGTGTTTTTCAGTGTTTTAATTAGTGATGGTCACTTGTTGGCCTGATAGGTGTCAATTTGTCCACTGGTTTTTGAGTTATGTTAATCCCACAAACAAACATTATATATTTATTTATATACTAGCCGTCCCCTGCCACCCGTTGCTGTGGCCCACTCTGGTGGTCATGGGGGTTCTGTGTGGGAGGTTTGGCCCAATTCTATCGTTGGTGGGGTTCAGAATGCTCTGTGATTGTAGGTGAACTACAAATCTCAGCAACTACAACTCCCAAATGTCAAGATTTTTCTGTTGGTCATGGGAGAACTGTGTGCCAAGTTTGGTTCAATTCCATCACTGGTGGGATTCAGAATGGTCTTTGATTGTAGGTAAACTATAAATCCCAGCAACTACAACTCCCAAATGACAAAATCAATTTTTGAGTGAAGGACATACATTGGGTTCTTAGGTATCTTGTATCCAAATTTGGTGTCAATTCGTCGGTTGTTTTTTGAGTTCTGTTAATCCCACAAACAAACATTGCATTTTTATTTATATAGATATCTATATCATAGCTAATCTATCTACTTTCAATCATGTGAAAGTTTCTAATTTGCTCTCTCCCTTCCTTTTGTATGTTGGTATTCCAAACGGATGGGGCTTTGTCTTTGAATAGCAGCAATCCAACTTGTGTCCTTGAAGCCACAGTCTTTATTTCCAGTAAATGAGTTTACACCAGGCCTGGTGTACGATCTACAGAGACACTAGCTGGAACACCTCAGCAAGGGAGAGTCCAAAGGTGGCAGGCTCAAACAGGGTCGTAGCCAGAAAAAAAATTCGGGAGGGGTTGAAATTTTCAGGGGAGGGGGGGGTTGAAGCCTGCCTCCTAGCTCA